AAATAAGTAACTGTTTTCATGAGGAATATATATATATATATATATATGAATTCCTACATAGGTATGTTTAAATAATAGGAAAAATAAGTCAGTAGATGATAATTTTTTAATGCTTTTTAGGTGCTGTATTTGAAACCACCATGGACTCTAATACATTTATTACAGTGCTTTAAGAAGCATTGGTTGGCTGTATTTGGATTAGTTGTAGAAAAGAAGTTGCTTTTGACTATTGAGAGCCTATATGAAAATCTTTCTAAAGGTATGGATTTTTTTTTTCTTTCACAGTGGTATATTAAAGTATTAGGTCAGGGGGCTGGAGAGATGACTTAGCGGTTTAGGACACTGGCTGCTCTTGCAGAGGACCCAGGTTTGAATCCCAGCACCCATATTGCAGCTAACAACCATCTCTAACTGAAGTTTTGTAACTGCAGTTTCAGGGGAATCTGATGCCCTCTTCTGACTGCCACAGGCATTCTACAATATGGGTGCACTTACACACATGCAGGCAATACACTTATACACATAAAGTAATAAATTAAAACAACAACAACAAGCTAAAGTATTAGGTCAAGATGGGTGTGGTGGCACATGACTGTAATCATATCATGGGGATGGAGGCAGGAGGACCAGAAGCTAAGGCCAGCCTCAGCTACATAGTGAGTTCAAGGCCAGCCTAAGCTATGAAACCCTGTCTCAAAAAACCAAAAATAGGGGCTGGAGAGATGGCGTAGTGGGTAAAGTGCTTGCCGTATAAGCATAATGGTCTGAGTTCAGATCATCAGAACCTATGTAAAACCTGGGCATGATGGTGTGCTGTAATTCGAGCACTTGGGAAATGGAGTCAGGTGGATTCCAGGGGCTTGCTGACCAGCTAGTTTGGCCAAAGCTCCAGGTTCAGTAAGAGAACCTGTTGCAAAAAATAAGGTGGAGAGTAAGACTGGAGATATGGCTCAGTGCTTAAGAGCACTGGCTGCTTTGCAGAGGACCTGAGTTTAATTCCCAGCACCCACATGCTGGCTAACAACCATCTGTAACTCCAGTTTCAGGGGATCTGATACCCTCTTCTGACCTCCCAAGGGCACGACATGGGTGCACTTACATACATGCAGGCAATATACTCAAACCACAAAATAATAAAATAAAATAAAATAAATTTAAATAAAATTAAAAAATTTTAAAAAGTGGAGAAACAATTGAGGAAGACTTAGTGACATCAGTCTCTAGCCTCTGTTCATGTATTCATAGGCAAATGAATCTGCACATTACACACATGCATAACACCCCCACCTCTATCCCACAAGAACATTAAAAAGAAAGGCTGGGGAGGTGGCTCATTCAGTAAAGTGCTTGCTACACAAGTATGAGGACTTGAGTTCAATCCGGCACCAAGTGAAAAAAACTTGGATGTAATAGCTTGTGCCTGTAATCTCAGTGTTGGAGAGGTGGAGGAGACAGGCATATCCTTAAGGATTCTTGGCCAGACAGAAAGGAGGATCCCTAGGGATCTTTTGGCCAGCCAGTCTATCTGAATTGGCAAGCCCCAAGTTCAGGGTTTTGAGAGTATCGAGGAAGACTGTTGAGACCAGATTTGGAGAGCTAGTTGAGGACGACACCTAGCATTAGCCTCTGGTCTCCACATGCGTACATACATATTCATGTTCATTCCCACATGTGTGCACACATACACATGAACACATATCTGCATACATACACAAAAATATTAAGTCAGGTCAGCATATATATTTCATAGGACTTGAAGATGAATTAATGAAAAGCAGATTTCAATAATTTATTCTTTTACTTTAAAGGAAATATGGCAGCTGGATGAATGGATGTGATTCTCAGAGGTCATGTCTATAAATGATAATGCTGTTAATGTTTCTATAGATTGTGAATATGATTTTTTTTTTTTTTTTGCCTTTTTGTCTTTTTGAGACAGGGTCTTCCTCTAGTCCCAGTTGGCCTGGAACTCACAAATTCACCTGCCTCTGTCTCCCGAATGCTGGGATTAAAGATGTGTGCCACCATGCCTGGCTCAATGAATGTGTACTTTGAAACCTGCTTCTAGGGCTGGGGAAATAGCGCAGTGGTTAAAGCACTTGCAGGGCAAGTGTGAGGACTGGAGTTAAGATCCCCAGAACTCAAGCAGATGGGTATGACAGCCCTGATGTAATTCTAGCCTCAGAAAGCAGAGACCAGATCCCCAGAGCAAACTGGCCTGCAAGACTAGCTATATTGGCAAGCTCTGGGTTTGATTGAGAGATCCTGCCTCAATGAATAAGATGTTAAGGATAATTCCTTCATACATATGCATGCCTACTCATGCATACATGTGTGCCCCACATGAAAACATGCATACACATTCATGCACACCACACACTCTTCAAATGTAAAAAAAAAATTGTTTAAAGTTGCTTATTTTGGCTCTTTGAAACAGATTCTCATAAAGTACAGGTGGACCTTGAATTCCCAGAGATCAGCCTGCCAAGTGCTGGGATTAAAGCCATGTGCCACCACTCCCAGCTTGTGTTTCTAATTTTTAACCTACCACTCCCAGGAAATTTAAAGCATCTTGTTAGCCTGTGATGGTTAGTTTTAAATGCCAACTTGGCCATAACTTAGAATCACCTGGGAAAACAGCTTCAATTGAGGAATTCTCTAAATCAGGTTGACCTCTGGGAATGTCTGTGGGAGATTGTCTTGGTTGTTAACTGACCTAACTCATTGTGGGTAGCACCATTCTTTCTGTTGGGCCTTGAACTATGTAAAAGTAGAAAAAGGTAGCTGAGTACAAAGCAACAAACAAGCAGGTAAGGGTGTATTTGTCTCTCTGCCGGACTGTGGATGTGATGCTTTTAAGTTTTTGCCTTGACTTCTCTGCAACAATAGATTATAACTTGGAATTGTAAGTTGAATAAAACCTCTTCCTCCCCTATGTTGCCTTTGGCCAGGGTAATTTATCACAGCATCAAAAGTATAATTAGGATACAGTTACTTATATATTATCCATGGTGGATATTGAATAAATATTGATTGTTGGAAGTTACCAATTATTTAGTTGTTTTTGTTGTTTTGAGTCAGGATCTCACTCTTATCCCAGGTTGGCCTATAACTACAGAAGTTATTTATAAGCGCTTAGAACAGCCAACTGGACATGTCTTTGAAGCCTGTCTTAACTAGACATGTGGAATCATTTTTTGTATTTTTTTTTCTAAGATTTATTTTTAAATTGTCACTGTGGGGGTATGTACACATGAGTGCAGTTGCCTAAAGAGGCCAGAAGGTGGCATTGTATCCCTTGGAACTGGAGTCACAGGAGGTTTTGAGCCACTGGATATGGGTTTGGCGATATGGTTCCAGAGATGGAGGTGCTTGCCACCAAGCCTGATGACCTGAGTTCTGTCCCCAGGACCTACATGGTGGAAGGAAAGAATTGGTTCCCTCAAGTTGTCTGACCCCCCCCCCACAAATTAAATAAATAAATAAATAAATAAATAAATGGAAATAAAAGAGAAAGTTCATAAATTGTGTGTGATCTTACAGGGTAGTTTCAAAACTGGGTTGTCTAGCTTCCGTCTTCTCTTTGTCTATCAGTAAGCAGAATTCTCCCCTTACATGTAGCTGAGAGGTGATAGGTAGTAGTTGTAACAGGCAGTAGGAAATAGTGAAGATATGTTGGCTGTATCTTTTATTAAAAATTATTTTTACAGTTATTGTGTGCCTAGTTATTGCTCTTTGATCTAGAAAAATCCGGTGTCTATTTAATGACTTGCGAATAATAATAATATATGAGATTATAAAAATAATTCTATTTGAAGGTAATTTTTTTGTTCTGAGAGAGGGGCTTATGTATTGTGGGCTGGCACTGAACTCAATATATACCTCAGATGACCCTGAACTCATGATTCTCCTGCTTTTCTTATGTGCTGGGGTTACATGTGTAACCACAACATCCAGCTTTTATTTTAGGTAATTAATTAATTTTGAGACAGGGTCTCAACGTGTAGCCCTGACTGACCTGGAACTCACTATGTAGACCAGGCTGGCCTTGATTTTAGTATATAGCTGAGACTGGCCTTGAACCAGTGCTCCTCCTTCCTCAGCCTCTCAGGTGCTGAGATTGCAGGTATGTGCACCACACTCACCAATAAAGACTTTCTGTAAGCAGAAATTGAATTCGTTCAAAGATATAAGCCCTACCAAACACAGACTACATTGGAGAATCACTCTTTAAAGAAGCTGTGGCAATTAGGTCTTCTGTAGGAGATTTATACAGTTCAAAAACTCTAAAGTCTGTCATTTCTTTTCGCATAGGAATTTAAGATAGTCATTGGCTGTAGAGAGAGATAAAAGTGTACTTGTCAGAAAAAATGTTTGGTGGTGAAGGGTAGAGTTATAATAGTGAAGCTAGAAATTTGGCTGTAACCATCCTATTAAATTAGGATTACTAAATATTGCCAGGCATGGTGGCACATGCCTTCAAGCCCAGCACTCAGGAAGCAGAAGTAGGTGGATCTCTGTGAGTTCCATGCCAGCCTGATCTACAGGGCAAGTTCCAGGCCAGCCAGGACTACAGACCCTATCTCAACAACAGAATATCAAATAATGAATTACAAAAATGTACTTAAAATTTTTTATTTGGCCCCTCAATATTTCATGAGCAAATTATTACTGTATCATTTATAAAAAGGAATACATTATTCATTTTAACTCATTGTACAAATGGAAAACCATGATCAAGTTTAAATATAACAGAATCTCTGGGGGCTGAGGGTATAGCTCAGTCAGTAAAGTATTTCTACATATGCATGAGAAGCTGAATTCAATCCCCAGAACCCATGTAAAAAAGCTGGGTGCAGTGGCATGCAGCTGTATCCCAGTGCCATGGAGATAGAGACAGGTATATTTCTGGGGCTTGCTGCCAGCCAGTCTATCCTGATTTCATAAGCCCCAGGCCATTGAGAGACCCTGTCTAAGAAAAATGGACACTACCTAAGGAGAAACTATTCCTGGGGTTCTCCGGCCTCTGATGTGTTTACGTACACCTGTGTATACACACGTGTGGTAGAGCAAACTCTTCAGAGAGAGAGAGAGAGAGAGAGAGAGAGAGAGAGAGAGAGAGAGAGAGAGAGAGAAGGGAGAGAGAGGCAAACTGTAAACTTTTAAACAGAAACAAAGCAAACATTATGGCATGATTATTACGCCTTCAAAAATAATAGTGTACCATTATGCCTTAATGATGGATTTTTTTCCTAGCATTTGTTTTGTGACATTAGAAATTTACTTAATTTCATTGTTCAAAATATTTTTGTTGTTTTTTTTAAGACATTGTCTCACTATGTAGATTTGGCTGGCATGGAACTTACTATATAGTCAAGGATGTACTTGAACTTGGAACAATTCCCCTACCTCTGCCTGAGTGCTGCAATTACAGGCATGTGTCACTATGCTTGGCTTGTTCATAATTTTTTAAGTCTTTGAAATTATTGTTGCTAATAATTTGTGAGTTTAGTGCAAGCATTTTTAACTCCTTGAGAGAAAATTATTATTGCATATTATCACATTAATTTACAGGAGGAAAATTCTCATAACTTTTGTTTCTTATTGTCTAAAGTATTATTTTCTTGCTGAACTTTGTTTTGTTTTGTTTTGGTCTTTTTGAGACAGGGTCTCCCAGTAGCCCCAGCTGGCCTGGAACTCACTATGTAGACCAGGCTTGCCTTGACCTCACAGAGATCAGTTCTGCCTCTGCCTCCCAAGTGCTTGGATTAAAGGCATGTGCCACCACGCCCAGCCTGTTTTGTTTTTTATTTGAGACGTCTCCCTGTAGCCCCAGCTAGCCTGGAACTTAGTATGTAGACCAGACTGGCCTACAGAGGTCCACCTGGCTCTGCCTCCTGGGATTAAAGGTGTGTGCCACCATACCCTGCCTTTTTGCTGAATTTTTGTGTTACATAAGGAAATAACACATTATTTGGAATAAATATTGAATTAAGTTTCATGTGATGGAATTTAAGATACATTACTACATAGTAACTGATTGATTCTAGCAAGAGCCACATATAACTTTACATACCTGTCCCTAACATGTGACTCTTCTGCTGCCTTTATAATAGTGATCTGAGTGGGAGACAACTTCGAAGACCTTTGAAAACTCTGTGCATGGACTTTTGGCCAAGCTGAAGAATGTAATAGTCTCATATTCTCTCATTTCCTTTGAAGTTGACAATGTTCTGGGAATTACTAGAATCTGAAAACAGAATACTAGAGTCAACTTGAAGGACTTTTTTAATTAAAGATTTTGTTTTATTGTTTTTTAATTTTTCTTTATTTTGTGTGTATGAGTGTTTTGCTGGCATGTGTAAGGATAATTATGTGTGTGCAATGCCGTGGAGGCAGAAGAGGGTGTCAGATCCCCTGGAACTGGAGCTACTGACAGTTGTTAGTCACCATGTGGGTGCTGGGAACCAAACCTCTGCAAGAGCACCCAGTGCTCTTAACTGCTGAGCCATTGCTATAGCTCTGTTGAAAGATTTTGTCTATAATTAAATGTGTTCAATTGTTGTTTTTTATATCAGAAGGTTAAATTAGGTTTGACATGTAGATGTAAATATATACACTTCTTTAATTTCAAAATTAATATTAGTGTTCAAAATGATTTTTGTGTTGTATACTTATTCTTGCTTATTTTTCTTTCTTAATTTTATCTTCCCAGCTAATAATGTAGTGGATTTTACAACAGTGAAATTCCTACTTCAGGATTCTAGAAGCTTATTACATGCCTTCAGTACAAGGTCAAACTATGATGGCATTCTTCCACAGACCTTTGCTCAAGTAAACAAACTACTCCAAATATTTGCAGAGGTAAGAAACTTTTGGAGTGCCATTTAGAGTACCTAATCACATGCATTTTAAACATGTTTTTAGAAGATAAAAAACAAAGGATAATATTAATCTGACTTATTGCTTTCTAAAGGCATTAAATATTAAATTAATTAGAGTGTAGGCAAGTCTTGGTATGGATTATGAAACACATATCCTTTTATGGAAGTTTCCTTTACCTCTCAATATTTCCATATGTATTTCCTGGAAAATAAGAATATCTTATGTAACTACAGTATCAAGAAAATTCTTTTCCCAACAAAGACTTAACTCCTAACTCATAAGGTTAGTAATATAAACACAGTGAACAAGATAGAAAGTTCAGAATACTTACAAGCTTAATAGTCTTTGAATTAGGATTACTGAGAATAAAACACAATTTAGGATGGATATAAACAAAAGAAAGTTTCGAGTTCTGTTCATCGATTGAGAACAGATGATAGGTACTATGAAATGTGATGTTAAAGTTTAGTGGTGTTTATTAGATAATGGTATGCCTGCTGTATATATGTTGCCCTTCCCCCATCCATGCTTGAATTTTGACTGGCTTGATCTTGTGCAGGTTAGTCACAGTTGCTGTGTATTCATGAGTATAACAGCTATGTCATGTCCTAAAGACAGCATTTCACAGTGCTCTCCTCCATCCTCTCCTTACATTCTTTCCAATCCTTCTTCCTTGTTCTTGATGGTCCCTTTTTTTCTTTCTTTCTTTTTTTTTCTTTTGGTTTTATTGAGACAAGGTCTCCCTGTAGCCACAGTTGGCCTAGAATTCACTGTAGAGACAAGGCTGGCCCTGATCTCACAGAGGCACCTGCCTCCCAAGTGCTAAGATTAAAGACCTCCTCTACCACCCCTGCTCTCCCTTTTCTTTTTTGGAACAGGGTCTCATGTGTCCCAGGCTGGGGGAGCTCAAACCAGACTGGTCTGAAACTCACTATATAGCTGATATGAAAACAGGAGGATCAGGAGTTCAAGTTCATCAGTTACGTAGGGGGTTCAAGTCCAAACCTGGGCTACATGATACATGAGATTTCATCTTAAAATGCCAAAAATGTTTTTTGAGGCAGGGTTTCATATAGCCCAGGCTAGCCTTGAACTTGCTGTGTTTCAAGAATGTTCTTAAATGCCTGATCTTCCCTCTACTTCCTGAGTGCTAGGATTACCAGTGTGTACCACCATGCCCAAGTTTATGTGGTGCTGGGGATCAAATCCAGAGCTTCATTCATAACTAAGCATTCTATAAACTGAGCTGCTTCCCTAGGCCTTAAATAGACTTTATCTGGGAATTGTTTACAGAATTCAGTAGATTTGATCATGTATTAAATAGTTTTGTTTCTAATTTAAACAATAAATATGTTAATTAAAAATAAGCTGTTAATAGAGTAACTTAAGTATACCTTATTTTAATTTATCACCTATGGAAAATTAAGAAAAGTATATTTGTCATTTGTTTGCTTCTGAGAAACGAAAATGCAAAAGGTTAACATAATTTTGTAGGTACTTTCTAGTGGAAATAGGAAAAGGTACATTCTTATTTAATTAGCTTTCCAGTTACCAAAGTTTTTGATCAGCTTCTAGTCTAGAATAATTAAAATCAGTCTTTTTGATAAGTTTCTAGATTTTACATGCTCAGGATCCTGACTTCTGTGTTTTGTTTTGTTTTGTTGTTGTTGTTGTTGTTGTTTTAACCTCTAGTTATTTAAAGTCTTTGAATCTAATTCTTTTTTGTAAAATGAGTACAATAATAATTCTTGCTTCAGAATTGCTATGAGAATGAACAAAGTTAATGAAGACCTTAATGCCTAACAGATAATAAGTGCTATGTAAGTATATGTTTTAAAAATCCACATGCATAGTTGGGTATACTCTGATTTAAGAGCCAAAGCAAAGAACCATTAGGACAATGTTACTCTTGATTTTAGATGTATCTGAACTGGAGGTGTAGCTCAGTGGGAGGTCTTACTTGTCATGCACAAAGCCCTTGGTTCCATCTCAGCACTGCCACAAAACAAAAGTTAATTTCAAGACAAAATGTGTATTTCTACTGTATAAATAAATATATATATATAAGAATATCTATTTATCTATCTATCTATCTATCTATCTATCTATCTATCTATCTCTCTATCTGTCTGTCTGTCTGTCTGTCTTTTTGAGACAGGGTCTCCCTGCATCCCTGTAGCTCCAGCTGGCCTGAATTCACTATGTAGACCAGGCTGGCCTTGAACTCACAGAGATCCGCACCGTGCCCAGCCTATTGTATATATATTTTTAAGTTTGTAGTATAATAGGCAAAATTTAGAAGAATCATCTATTTTTGCTTGCTGCTTCACAAAACAGAGAAGAGTAATACCTATACACTTGGTGTGAGATCACAGCCTCAGTAATAGATTGCTCAAGGTCAAGGTTTATTTAAATAATATTTTATTTATTATTTTGTGTGTATGGGTGTATTGCCTGCATATATGTAAGTGAACCTGTGTCTTGGAATGCCCACGGAGGTCAGTCAAGAGGGCGTCCTGGAACTGGAGTTACAGATGGTTGTTAGCTGCTATGTGATTGCTAGGAATTGAACCCAGGTCCTCTGCCAGTGAAGCCAGTGCTTTTAATTGCTGACCCATCTCTCCAGCCCCAAGGTCAAGTATTTTTATGCCCCCTACCATTTACGTTTCCTCAAATGAGTTATTTAATCTTCCTATGTCCCTGTTTCATTCATTCAAAAACCTGAATTGTAGCAGGGCATTGTGCCACATTGCTTTAAACCCAGCACACAAGAGGCAGGTGGATTTTTATGAGCTTGAAGTCAGCCTGGTCTACACAGAGAGTTCCAGGCCTGCTGTATGGCAGAGTGAGACCCTGTCTTAAAAAAAAAAAAAAAAAAAAAAAAGAAATTTAAATTATATGTTTCATAGCATTTCTGCAGTGTTTCCTAGTACTAGTTTCACAGGGTAGTCATGAAGATTAAATGAGCTAAACTGAAATCCTTAGAAAGCTCCTGTATATAACATGTTCTCAAAAATATTAACTGTTACTGATAACATTAGAAATTTTATTTTTAGGGCCTGGAGAAATGGCTCAGCAGTTAAGAGCACTGTCTACTCTTACAGAGGATCCATGTTTGGTTCCCAGCACCCACATGGCTGTTACCAACTGTCCATAACTCCAGTTCCAGGGGATCTAATGCCCTCTTCCTATCTCCATGGACATTGCATGACATGGGTGTACTTACATACATGCAAGCAATATACTCATACACATAAAATAAAAAATAATGAAGAAAATATTTTTTAATATTTTTAAAAATTTTTAAAGCATAAAACTAGCAGCCCATGATGCTAACTTTTGAAATCATCTTTTTATTAACATGAAAACTTAGCCCTATGGAAATAAAATCCTTCAACTGAAGTTCGTAGAGCATTTTATATTAGAGCCAAGACCAAAAAACAGTTTTAAAAATTCATATTTTTGGAAGTTAGAAGCAAGAGAATCTATTTCAAGGCCAGCCTGGGCTACATGAGACTTTGTCTCAAAAAAAAAAAAAAGAAAAAAAAAAAAACCAAGTTAGTTGACTTAGTAGCCAAGTTATTTTTTTTTCCTGATTGAATTTTTTTTTTTTTACTGTCACTTGAATCAATGAACAATGAATCTTATGATCTATAAGATATACTTAAGAGTTTTTCTGTCCTCAAATAATTTTTCCCACTGGAAATGCTATTTACTGTGCTCTTTTCCTGAAAAACTGTCTCCTTTGACTTCTTTTGATTTGTGTACTTCCGATCCCCCCAACCCCTGTTCTCCCCCACCCCTTTTTGTTTTTATAGTTCTCACTTCTTCCTCTTCATTTTTATTCTTACCTTTTTTGTGTGCTGTGTTCTCCTATAACACCCTTTTCTTCTAAGACTTTGTCTTCAAAAGAATGATTAGCAATGCTGTTTTAAGCTTCAGACCTGTGTATTTGTGTGTGTATATATGTATGTATATGTATATGTGTTTGTGTATAAATATATATATACACATATATGTGTGTGTATATATACACACATACATATTACACTTAGGTCAGGTCCTCATACTTGCTTGGCAAGCACGTTACTGACGGAGCCATCTCCTCAGACCCTCAAAACTCAGCATAGAACTGAAAACAAGCCCCCCTCTCTCTCTCTTTCTTGGGTTTACTACAAGAAGCCATAAGACAATGTATGATTTACTAAATAAAACTGTCTTTACATTCCTTTGGAGAAATAATCAAGAGTTCAAGCTATTTAAAGCATACATCTAAATTTTTAGCCAACTTCAATTTCAATTATTTGTACCATTATTTTTCTAGGTATCTAAAAAAAATCTTTGGTATGTCTTCCTGAACCTAGCTTTTGACCAGGTGTTTAAACATATTCCTTTGCTTTTTATTTTATTTAATTATTTTTATTTTATGTGTATGAATGTATTGCCTCCATGTTTGTAAGTCCACCCTTGTCATGCAATGCCCAAGGGCAGTCAGAAGAGGGCGTTGGATCCCCTGGAACTGGCGTTCTGTTATTTTTAATATTCTATTTATTTTTTATTTTGTGTGTATGCATTCATTGCCTGCATGTGGGTAGGTACCCTCATGTTATGCAATGCCCTCGGAGGTCAGAAGAAGGCCTCAGGTCCCTTAGAACTGGAGTTAAGGACAGTTTGTAGCCTCCATGTGGGTTCTGGGAATTGAACCCATGTCCTCTGCAAGAGCCATCAGTGCTCTGAACCGCTGAGCCATCTCTCCAGCCCCGCAGCCAGTGTTCTTAACCTGCAGCCAGTGTTCTTAACCACTGAGCCATCTCTTCAGCCCCTAACCATATTTCTTACATGCGTTTCTCTCCCATTCTACTGCCTTTTGGTATGTAATTAAGTTCTCAGGATTCCTCTCCTGGATTACTCTATAGCCTTCACGTTTTCTTACCTACATTTTCTTCTGTTCTGGTATGTATTAGGGTATATAGCTCTCAGTTTATCACTGCCATTGCTCATTACATAAACCTTTTACAGCTCTTTCCAGTTGTGTTTTCTGGATTACAGGATGCTTGGAGCTTGACTTTCCCCATTTATCTTTGTGTGCTTTTTTTTTTTTTTTTTTTGGTCTTTGAGACAGGATCTCCCTGTAGCCCCAGCTGTCCTGGAACTCACTGTGTAGACCAAGCTGGCCTTGATCTCACAGAGATTCCCCCTGCTTTTGCCTTCTGAGTGCTGGGATTAAAGGCGTGTGCCACCACGCCCGGTTCTTTGTGTCCTTTTTATAATTCAATACCATATGTAAAAATGTTCAAATAATAGTCATAAATTGACATTAGCATGTTGACTTAGAAAAGTCCCTATAGTAAATAAATCAAACATATTATTTGATTTTAAACAGGAAAGGGAAAAATCTAAGTCTAATGCTTTTCTGGGAATATTCTGTACATATAAAAGAAAAAGAAGAGTCAGCACATCCAGAAAACTAGTACATTTGTAAGCACTCTTGGCATTCTGTTTTTCACAGTTGGTAAAGGACCAACTTCATTTTATCTAATTCTTATTTCCCAGGTCAAGACAAAACTTAAGCCAAATTTCTCAGAAAGCACAGTGAGTAAAAAGCATGAAGATACTTCTTTGATGAAGCTTCATAATCAAGAAGTCAGTGTTTTCTTGGGTTCTCATCTTCCCCACTTCACCAGGCATCAAGAAATCTGGTCTATCCTAGAGAATGTTTGGACTACAATATATCAGAACAGGTACTAAATTTTCAAGACTTTTTTTTTTAACTTTAGCTTTACAAGTTTGCTCTTTGTAGGATTTCCATTATTACTGTTACAATTACTGTTGAACAGTTAGTGTTTAGGTTTGAGTTTAATGTCCTGGATTGTCCTACAAAGGGCCTTTTTGCTAAATTGGTACATTAGAAGTATTGATGTACAAATAAAGATAAACTTCAAAATTAGAATATATATTTGTCTAAATTCTGTTTCTAGAAATTTGGTTTCAGTAGGAGAGAGATGAATGAAAATTCATAAAGAAACTCCCCAAGTGATTCTGATGTGGCCCAGATGAGTGGTATTTCTTACGTAGGACAAAACCAATGAGTCACCTAGATTGTTTAAACAAGTAATTAGCAGGTTTCAAGACTTTAATTCAATGAAAAAGACTGTTGGACCCCCAGACTGGGGTACCCAACGTTCACGGGAGGTCTCACCCCAATAACTCAGTCCTCAAATCAGGAGATGCAACAAGCATGAGGATTTATTGGCGTTTTGCAAAACGGACTCCCACCTCACTTGGAGGACAGAAGTCCAGAGCCCAGTTCACAGGTTTCTTTTAAAGACAAGCGGTGGCTATGTGCCAAGCAGAGGTAGGGGGAATTTCTGGGATGATTTCCAGCTTGGGCAAGGAGCATGAAAAAGGTCAGCTCAGCTTGTTCTTTAGAATTATTTTTCATTTTTACTTCCTTGTACAGTTTTTCTCAGGCCTGGGGGATTTTAGTTTAAATCCATCATTTTGGAGGGACTTGGGTCCATCATTTGGGGGGACTTGGGTCCATCAAGACAGGTAAATGCTATTGTTTAAAATGAAAAAATACTGTTACTTTAGGATATAAACCTAAAATACTTTGGTCTTAGTGAAATGAAGAAGTATAGGAAAGTTGCAGAAGTGGGTTCTTTCCTTCCCCGGTGTGGGATCCAGAGATGGATCTCAGTTCATCAGGATTAGCAGCAAGTGTCTGTACCTACTGAGCCATCTCACACCTCTCCCTTTATCTTGGATAGTATTGAGGATTAAACCTAGGGCTATTGTGTATTAGGCAAGTGTTCTACCACTGAGCTCTGTCCCCGTTGAGTAGTTTTTCAAACAGGCTGTCACTAGAGTAGCTTATAAAATAATTTAAAACCACTGATTTTAAAATAACTGAGCACTGCCACCTATTCTTTCCCCAAACCCATTATATTTATATTTAATTTGCCAAGCTAGTAGATATAACTTTGATTCAAAGTCCAGTGTGAGTATTGTTTTGGTTTAAAGCTCTCTGTTTTAGGTATTCACAAAAGCACCAGGGTAGTATTAGCAGTATACTGCAACATCTCTTCTCAACAGCTATCTGTTACAGCAATGTAGATTAAGAGTTCATTTTTATTTATTTCCTGGCTTCTTTAAGTTTTTGAATAGGTATATATTATATGTTAAACATACAATTCTTTTTTGCCTCAATTTCCACCTTCCTTCCCATTTTGCCCCTCCCATTTGTCCCCTCTGTTCTTGGGCTCTTTTTTTGTTTTTTAGTCCTTGGTTATAGTTAAAGTTTTCCCAGCAATTTATGGCCTGTTATTTGATTTGCTAACCTATCTTACTAAAGAGATAATTGCAAGTAGCATATTAACTAATGATATTTTCACATTTTCATTTTTTGTAAATCAAAATAAATTTTTCTAATCAAAATATTTTTGAAGTTTTTGGCTAGTCAGATATTCCGGCTTATAGAAGGTTACTATATATAGTATTTTATCTTTTGTTTACTATGGAAAACATTGGAGTTGACCTATAATATTCATGCATTTATATTGGATACTAGAGTTCTATACTGTTTCTGGATAATAGACTTTATGTAATAGCATTTCAGCAAGTGAAAAAATGTTTATATTGCCTTAATGATACAAATTTGTTTACTGTTTCACCAGCCTGGTTGTGTACTAGAGTCTGTGTAACTGAGCATAATCAATATAAAAATGCTCATTTGGGGGCTGGTGAGATGGCTCTGTTGTTAAGAGCACTGGCTGCTTTTGCAGAGGACCCAGGTTTGATTCTTGTTATCACCCACATGGCAACTAACAACCATCCGTAACTCCAGTTCCAGGGCATCTGACGGCCTCTTCCATCCTCCTCGGGGGCATTGCATGACATGGGTGCACTTACCCACATGCAGGCAATATACTCATACACATAAAATAAAAAACAAAGTGTGTATATTCATTTATTTTATGTATATGTGTGTATTGCCTGCATGTAGGTAAGTGCACCCCTGTTGTGCAATGCCCGAGGAGGACAGAAGAGGCCGTTGGATCCTCTGGAATTGGAGTTACAGACAATTGTTAGCTGCCATGTGGGTGCTGGGATTCAAACCCGGATCTTCTGCAAGAACAACCAGTGTTCTTAACTGCCAAGCCATCTCTTCTGCCCCACATATATATATTTTTTTTAATGCTCATTTGGCTGGGTGTGGTGGCCTCTGCCTTTAATCTCATCCCTGGGGAGGCAGAGGCAGACAAATCTCTGCAATATCAAATCCAGCCTGGTCAACGTAGTGACTTCTTAGGCAGACTGGGACTAGGGAGACCCTGTCAACATAAAGCAAGACAAAACAAAAAAGAAAAAATGCTCATATAGGGGTCTGTTAAGACCTATGCATAATTATGAGTTACTAGAATACTGTTATGGTTTATGTTTGTCAACTTAACAGAATCTAGAATTTTCTGGGATTACAGGCCTTTGGGCATACTGGTTGAGGATTATATTGATTTCATTAATTGAGGGAGGATCTATCTACTGTGGATAGAACCATTCTCTGGCAGGGTACTGGGTGGTATATGTAAAGAGAGCTGAGAAGCACGCATATATTTATCTCTTGGTCTCATTATCCCAGGATGGCCTAGAACTGGCTCTGTAGATCAGGCTGGCCTGGAATTCACAGAGATCCTCCTGCCTCTGCCTCCTAAATGCTGGGATTAAAAGCGTGTGCCACCATGCTGTTTCTTTACTCTGGATGCAATATGACTAGCTGCTTCCTGCTGCTGCTGCTGTGATGTCCTGATCATGATGGAATGACTGGACCTTGAGCTGTGAACTGAAATAAAGCCTTTCTACCTCATATTGCTTTTGTCAGAGTATTTTATCATAGCAAGAGGAAAAGAAACCAAGACAAGTACATACGCACAGCTGTAAATGTCATCTTGTTCTGTGGCTTAATAATCCATTGTGAACGATTTTTAAATCATATCAGGTCATGTTTTTGTTTTCTTTCTATGAGGAACTTGGAGTAGTGCTTTGTATTACTGATTCTGATTGAAAAGAGTCTTAGGCATGGTGACACATGCCTATAATCTAGCACTCAAGAGGTTGAAACAGGAGAATTTTGAGTTGGGGGCCAACCTGGGCTACATTGTATGACCCTGTCTGAAAAATAAAAGTCAAACAAATCTTTCCTCGTATTTTTCATTCAAGCTTCTGAGGCGTTTGTTTAAAATGTGTGTTTTTCAGTTTACAGTAGGAGCTGTAATTAAAATGTCTTGTTACCTTTTACCATTCAGAATTTTATTAATATTGTAAAGGCAAAAAATTAAAAAGAAGTTGTTTTTAACAGTTTGTTGGTTGATACTTTTCTAAACCGACTACTTAATAACTAGTTGAATAGCTTATTTAATAACGTGCACTCTAATGAGTCAGACAGTGTATTGCATCAGTTATCCATAAATGATTTGAAATGTTTGTATTCAGAACCACTTCATTGTTTTTAATTGCTAATTTTTTTTTGGAAGTGGAATTATTAGGATGAACTTCCAGTTTCAAAAGTTGTTTATGGGATGGGAGAGATGACTCAGAAGTTAAGAGCACTGGGCACTCTTGCAGAGGACCTGGGTTTGAATCCCAGCACCCACCTGATGGCTAACAACCATCTGTAACTCCAGTTCCAGGGGATCCAGTGCCCTCTTCTGACCTCCACAGGCATTGCACAACACAAGTACACACACACATGTAGGCAATACACTCATACACAGAAAAGTTTTTTTTAAAAAGTTGTTTAATATGATACCTTTTTTTTCATATTTACGTTCTTGAGTACTAATCTGAATGTACATTGATAATATTACTTTCCCTCCAACACTTATGGTCTCTTAGAATGAAATGTTATTCATACCTCTTTTATAATATTATTTTAAATTAGGTGTGTACAGTGTGTGACCTATATGCCTTTTATGAATGTTAGCCGAGATTTTTCTCATCACTCTTTTATTTCTAAAGAGATAAGCATCATGAGATTAATTATAATTACTTTTTTATGTATCATCAATGGAAATGGACACATATGCCTATGTATCTTTCTGTATTTCAGCACAGATGTGTTTCAAAGATTGGACTCAAGTTCAACTCTGACCACTTCAAAAATAGCATCATTTGAAGAAGCATTTATATACCTTCAAATGTTAATGGCAGCTGTGAAGGATATTCTTGAAGGCATTCAGAGGTAAACATATCAAATTGAAAGCCTTATTTTTATCTCTAGATTTACCAACTTGTTTTAGATCCAGGAGTCTTCTAGCATGTTATAAATTATTGGCTTTTAGATTTCCCTTCTTCCCTTCTCTACAGATAATCTGTGTGTCTGGTTTAGAACACAAGAATGTTTCTACCTTTTCATTTTCTAGGAAAAAATATCTAGATATTAGCTCCATTAGGAACTTTTTTGTTCTGTTTTGTTTATTTTCTTGAGACAGGGTCTCGGTATGCACCCCTGGCTGGTCTGGAACTCAGTTATGTAGAGCAGGTTGGCCTCAACTCAGATACTTGTCTCTACCTCTTGAATGCTGGGATTAAAGGTATGTGTCACCATACCTGGCAAGGAGTACATGTGGGCACTTAGTGATTGCCTATGGATGAAATGTGTTAATTTTCATTGCCCTTTTAATACAAGTATCTTTTGATATGATCAAATTCCTCAAATACATATCTTTTGCTATGATTAATTTCCTCAAATACAGTTTCACAGTATTAAAAACTGAAATATAGTGTGAGAAACAATATGATCTCATGGTTGATGTGGTTAAAATCACACATGTGATTTTAAATATTTGTGATGCATGTAGGAAATAATAGTTTTTATTTTCCCTTTTACAGCTATGGTTTTTTGGAATCATCATCTCATAGTTAACATATAGTATGTACACCCTTTTTGGATTACAGTTTATCTAAATGATTTTTATTTATTTTTATTTTTTACTTTATTTATTTAGGGGGTTGTCTTTTTGAGACAGGATCTCCCTGTAGCCCCAGCTGGCCTGTGGGTAGAAGCAGAAGCTAGGTCAGCACAGTCTTCCAACCCAAGATTCTCAGAGTGGCAGTTGGGATATTTCACAGCTTCACACAACAGTTTTACACCAGTAAAGTCCTCCAGTTTATTTCCTGAAATCAGCAGGCTCCCATAGTTGCTGAGGACCACAGCCAGGCTTTGACAACCACTGAATGATGATGATGTCTGGGCTGACCATGGGTGCACTGTGCAGTGGGCACTCACATTCCCTACCCCTAGCAAGAGAGGTACAACTGGGGTTTGGCATGGGGGGTGGTTGTAACCACCTCAGGGGCGTGACACCCCATGGGCACAGACAGTCAGGACTGAGTGGGTTTTTTTTTTTTTTTTTTTTTTCCTCATGGTCAAGAATCCAGTTGGCCCTCTTGTTGTCTGTTGCCCTAGCATCCTCCTCAACATCCAGGGGAGAACAAGTAATGAGATATCTTCTCACCAGAGTCATGTTTTAAGTCCCTGCTCCCAGAGCCACTGCCACTACCACCGTTGCTTTAGTGTCCACAGCCATGCAGCCATCATCTTGGCCTTCACCGACTTTCTTTCCTACTTGCCAAGTCCTGAGTTCAAAATTTTGAGATCACTATAGAAGCATTTAAGGTCAGGAAAATATTCATCCTGTGTGATAAGATTTCTCACACGGTCCAGCACTTGTACTTCGTCTCTTGGGAGCTGGGGTGCCCCAAGCCCAGAGGCCAGCTGCTCAGGGCATGGCTCATTCTGCCACCATCTCACCAAGGCTCTTAGTAGAATGAAGAGGCCTTACAAAGCAGTTTCTACTTTATCCTAGAGGTGAGTAAGTATAGTGGTAGGCATCTATAATTCCAGTACTTGGTAAGCTGAGGCAGGAGCATGGCAAATTCAAGGCCAGTTTAGCCTGCTTAGCAAGACCCTTTTTTAAAATCTGAAAAATCTAAGCTGAAAGATTTAAACAAGGTGTGGTGGCACACACCTTTAATCACATGGAGACAGAGGCAAGGGGATCTCTGTGAGTTTGAGGCCAGCATGGTTTACATAGTGAGTTCCAGGCCATCTGGGGTTGGGTTACAGGGAGACCGTGTCTCAAAAAACAAAAAAAAATTCTTTACAATAATAAGAGATTGCATGTTTTTGAAAAGTCAATTTTATAATAACTGAAAAATTTTGGCATTTATTATGCTTATTAAAATGATATAATTCTACTTGGTTTTGAGATACATGCTCAGTGATACATGTTAGCTTTATTTCCTTTTATCTTAAAAATAGTACAATATATATATGGTTACATTGAGACTTTATGATAACATGACCTGTTAACCATGTGCCCTTTAGACAAAGACTAAAAGAGGTGAATGAAGATGTACTTGGGCAACTAAGAACTTTTGGTTCTAGTTCCAGATTTATTCCTTTGTAGCTGATGTCATTTGGGCTTATCTACCCTCAGTCCCTTATTAAGAGCACTTCCCATATCATATATATCATGATATATATGGTTTTTAAGAATGTAATAATGGACTGGAGAGATGGCTCAGCAGTTAAGAACACTGGCTGGTGCCAGGTTTGGTGACATGAGCCTTTAATCTCAGCACTCAGGAGGCAGAGACAGGCGGATCTCTGAGTTTTTAGGCCAGCCTGGTCTCCATAGCGAATCCAGGCCAACTGTGGCTATGGGAAGACCCTGTCTCAAAAAAAAAAAGACAAAAAATAAATAAAAACACTGTTCTTGCAGAAGACCCAGGTTCGAATCCCAGCACCCACATGGCAGCTAGCAACTGTCTATAACTCCAGTTCTAAGACATCTAACAGCTTCTTTTGTCCTCTACAAGCATTGAACATGCAGACAATACATGCATACACATAATAAAAATAATTTTAAAAAAAGAATGTAATAACCCATCAACTTCAGTTTGTGCTGTCGATATACTTCTGGGTGTGATGCCATCCACTGGAGTATAATCAACCTACCAGGAGCCAAACCCCAAAAGAAAACTGACTCTCTCTCTCTCTCCTCCTCTCAGAAGCCATCAACTGTCCATAGCCCTTACAGGTGGGGGCTCATGAACATCTTCCCCCCACCCCGTGCTAGAATGTTAACTGTCTAGTGCAGGAAATCACAGGTGCTGTGGGTAATGCGTGAAGCTATCCCATCATTCCGAAAGGACACTGTTTTGTTCCAATTTCTCTGACCTCTGGCTCTTACAGTCTTTCTGCCCCTCTTCCACCATGGTCCTTGAGCTTTGGGGAGCATGTGTGTGCTAGTTAATTTTTGTCAACTTGATACAAACAAGAGACTAGGAGAGGGAACCCCAATTGAGGAATTGTTGCCATCAGACTTTCCTATGGGCATATCTGTGGGGTGTTTTCTTGATTGCTGATTGATGTAAGAAAAGTAGCTGAGCAAGCCAGGAGAAGCAAAACAGTAAGCAGTGTTCTTCCATGGTCTCTTCTTCAGTTCGTGCTTCCAGGTTCCTGCCTTGATTTCCTGCCTTGGCTTCCTTTGATGGTAGATTGTGAGGTATAAGCCAAATAAGCCCTTTCCTCCCCAAGTTGGTCTTGGTCAGGTTTTTGTAACAGCAACAGAAACTAAACTAGAACAATGTTTGATACAGATGTCCAGTTTGTAGCTGAGGACTCCATAGTCATTCTTTGCACTTTGACCAGTTGTGAGTTTCTGCATTAACCAACATCCACTGTACAAAGAAACTTCTCTGATAAGGTCTGAGAGCTGTAGTAATCTACAGATAAAGAACTGAAATTTGGAAGGCAGTTTTCTACTATGTCCATCTAGCAAAATAATAGTAGATTCACCTCTGGGGCCTGTGAGCTTCCCAACCTGGGTTCTTGATCCAATTTGCAGTACCAGGCATATATTTCCTCTTGTGAAGCAGGCCCTAAATCTAATCATAAAGTGGTTGGTTACCCCCTTAACATTACAGCCAGTATTACACTCATGGGCCTATTGCAGTTCACAGGGTTCACAGTTAGGTATGACTGTGGATGGCTTTTTTCACCCCAAAGCAGCCCGTGTAGCACTTTCCAGTATTTTGAGAGCTAGCTATCAATGAGAAAGACTCCTGGTCAGTACTGATTTGGTTTCTCCATGTTCTATGAGCAGTGTGTACAGTGAGTGTCTTCATCAGGAGGGTCTTACCATCAACTTCTCAGGCATTAAAGAGGAATAGCCTGTATTGTTCTGTGGGGTCTCTGTGATTATATATTTCTTGATGTGTGATTTACACATATTTTTCTGTTTTCTTATGAAATCTCTAAAAATTAATTGTTAATCTCTTGCCTAATTTTTTTTTCAGTGCTGGGATCAACCTTGCACTATTTTAACATGTGAACAGACCGTGTACTGGTACATCCATACATGATTCTTTAATCATAGAATTTTTTCAGATCTACTAGTGGTTTAGCCACTTTTACATATAAGCTTGCATTGAAGAGAATAATTTATTAGTATGTCTCTTTGACTTATTACTCTGTTTGGATAGCTGACCTCTTGAGGTTTAGGAAAGGTTATTTGTAAAAGCTTATCCTGCATTAACACAGAGTAAGCTGAGTGTGGTGTTACATAGCTAAAGCAGGAAGATCATGAGTTTGAAGTCAGACTGGGCTATACAGCAAGACTTTGTCTCAAAAAAAGAAAAAATCTGTTGGCACAGTGACAACACTTTAGACTACTTCTAGATTAAGCCGGTTGTTGAAACAAAAAGTTTTGTCGGTGACCTTAAAAGAATTCAACTTTGAGGTTTAGAAGTGACTTTTGAGCATTTGAACTAATTGTAGTGATGAAGATGCTTGACCATTAATAATTTTTTTGTTTTGTTTTTGTGTGTGTTTGAGACAGGGTCTCACTGTACATGTAGTCCTGTCTGGTCAGGAACTAGCTATATAGACCAGGCTGGCTGGCCTTGGACTCAACAGAGGCATGGGGATTTTCCTGTTTCTGCCTCCCAAGTGCTGGGGTTAAAGACATGTACCACCACATCTAACCCTAAAAGTTCTTATTTTGAGTAGGGGGATGGTAGCCATTTGGGGTTTAACTTGCTTTTCAAGGTGTGACCTTTTTATTCTTAGATGATTAGTTCTTCCCACTCCCTAGCCTTCAACTAAATTTCCTACAGTTCCTCAGATATCACCATGCCTCTTTAGCAGGCTTGTCACAAATTTCTTGTCCTTTC